AAATGAAATTCACATATAAAAACAACGATTTCTAGTACTTACAATAAATTATAGTAATAGAAAAATATTTTGCCCTCGTGTTCCTTTAGTGTCTAAGCCTCGTATATTTTTTTAGTGGAGGGTGAAGAAACAATTTTTGTAGGCTTCAAATATATATTTTAGAAAGAAAAATATATCACATTACTCTACTAGTACACCCAAAACATCTGTAACTTGCTTGGGTTTATAAATAAAGTATATATGTGTTACAAAATTTTACCTCCATTCAGAGCAATAACTTGGTCACCACCATTCAACAGTTTTGGTGAAATTATTATTTTCTCTTCCAAGCTCTTTACAAAAAACTGTCAGAATCACATAAAGTACAACTTGTCCTTTCTATTGGTTATAAACAGACCCTTAAGGAATATAGGTGGAACTAAACAAGAGGATTGGAAAGAATGGAGTAGGAGGAGTGGTGGTGGGAGGTTCTAAATTTATATTTTACCTTGCCAGTATCTAAAATTCTTGTTTCTAATTCGTTAACCACTTGTAGACATATATAGTAGGTGTAAAAATATAAAGTTAGCAAAAAGACATAAGGAGGTGCTATGTGACACACACAAATCAATATTTAGCTTTATTTTATTTATACTTTCTTTTGAATTAAGATATTAAAGCATACATAATATTAAAATTTGAAATATAAGCAACGTTTTGATGCCAAATTCATTGATATAAAACAATAATAAAGTTATTTAATAAAGTTTTGAAAATGAATTACTAAAAGACCGTGACATGCACAGTTAGACCCAACCATTGTGAAAGGGTTAAGGTCACTAAAACTGGCTTCTATTTTGTTTGTTTTTCAAGTGGTAGTTTTTTATTATTGCCTGAAGCATCAGTTTCAAGTCTTGTTTTATTAAAATTTGAATACTTTTACTTATTTCAGATTGACATTAACACTCTACTGTTAACCATGGAAATTCAGTACTCAAAGACACACCTTAGACATAGCAACTAGTACAGCTAGCATGGCTAGAGCTTTTTTGGCTTACTTAGATTGCAATAAATGAACATGAATTCTGCATCCATCCTAAACAATATCTATGTAATATTTAACAAATTGTGTTATTTTTAGTTTGAAACCTTCTATGTTTTCAAAAATTGCTAAACTGTACCAGTTTAGATTTCTTTGCTAAGTCCCTGCAAACACTGGTGTTTTCTTTTACCAAACTTTTCTTGGTCTAGTCTTCTTTTAGAAAGTTTTAAAAATGCTTCAAGACTCGTGTTTAATTTTTATTTCTGAAATCTTCTACAAAGAAGGATCATACATCAGGTTCCATTTTGTTCACACAGCAACAGTAATAAACAATATCATAGTTTAAAATAAATCCAAATTTTCTGAAACATCATTTAGAACTCCAGATTTTCACTTGTCCAATCATGTCTGTTCAAACCAAGTTTTACTCATTCTTCTGACATCTTAACATAGAAATATGAGTAGATGAGTGTATTTATTAACTAGAATATAAATCATTGAATAGCCCGTTCAGTTCTTCCATGAGATAGATGCATATGAGAAAGGGCAATACAATCTACACAAGTTTAAAGGAAATAAATTACTCATAAAAAATTAATGCCACATTATAGATGCATATGAGAAAGGGCAATACAATCTACATAAGTTTAAAGGAAACAAATTACTCATAAAAAATTAATGCCACATTACAGATGCATATGAGAAAGGGCAATACAATCTACACAAGTTTAAAGGAAATAAATTACTCATAAAAAATTAATGCCACATTATAGATGCATATGAGAAAGGGCAATACAATCTACACAAGTTTAAAGGAAATAAATTACTCATAAAAAATTAATGCCACATTATAGATGCATCCAAAAAATGTGAGCCAACTACATAGATATTCATGGGTGAAAAAATTCCATAGTAATTATAGTATTTTGGCACTCCTCCCTGTTGTCATTAATGTAATCAATTCCACATTCTGAGTATTTTTAATTGATATTTATCATTATTTTAAAAATACAGTGTTTATACTTATATTTAAGCCTTTCTCTATAATAGATTCTCTTAACAATACTATTCATTAAACGTGTATTATATCCTACATTCCATTATATTGTACCATTTAAATCAGTACTTTCTAAACTTCTGATTGAATACAAAAGCTTGCTCAATGCTAATATTGTTTTTTGGAGTTTGAATATTATGAAATAATTTTTTTTCAGATATTAACGCTGAAGATAGAATTTAAGGAAATTCTGAAACATCTGTATTAAAGAAGGTTTTTTGTATTACCATGCTTTTAATGTTTATTTATTCTACTTTAAAAATATGCCTAAAATTGTTTTGTGCAAAAAAATTAGTCATTAGCCAAGAGATACTCTTACTTCCCAAATAAATAGAGGAGTGACTAAAGACTAAAAAATTCAACTGTGATTGGCAAGTTTCTGGTTGTGTACATACATATACAATTGTAAATAGCTAAGTTCCTTGTAAGAGTCTGTACATGTAACGTAAATGGTAGTATATACAATTACCAATTAGCACCATTACATACTCTACATGGTGTATATGTAGCAAGCTCAATATATTATGTAGTATGTTCCACAGACAGATGTTTATCCTGTGAATAACATTCACTACCATATACAGTATGTAAAATTTGACAGTCACAAGTGTTATACTGTATAACACTGGTCTTAACAGAATGAACATTTTACAAATAAGTCTATTTTCTATATTTTAGTCCCAGATGAGTGGCTCATAGAATGGCTCAGAGTTTTTGTGTTTTTTCTTTCAAAGTACAAACTTTGAGCTCATAGCTCTGTCATCTCTTAACTGATTTCATAATTTAATTTCAGTCTTTGACCCAGGAGGTCAAACCCTTTTGACTGATGTGTTTGACTACACCCAAGGTCTCATACATTAATTTATTCTAATCCTGCCCAAAAGAATTTCAATTTAAGGGTAAACTGGTAGAGATCCTGATGAGGAATTAAATCAAATCGGGTATAGCAAGTCCCATGCTTAGTATTGCTGATGCACAAAAATAAAGCTAATAAAAAGGGAAACAAAGGTCTCATGATTTATTTACTCTAATCCTGCGTAAAAAAAATTTAAGTGCTGCAGCTACTGAAGATTCCCTCTTACTTAATATTAGTACTTGCTCTTGAAATTTCTTAATATTTCTCTACCTTAAATGTTGTATCTATAACTGCAAAGTAGGAATCTATAAAATGTAGAATTAGTCAAAATAACTCAATAGGAGACATTCAATAGCAAGCTGTGCATAAGGAGTAACATCATGCTAGATTTCATCATAGTTATGATTTGTAGTTCTTGAAAGAAGTTTGACACTTACATATATCTAGTACATATGCAATCCTATACAAGAGGGGATATTCAATTATGGGTTCAACTCAAATTTGATTTATAAAATCCTTAACTTTTGGTGTGATATTTTCATTTACTCTTATTTTCCTTATATTAAATAGGTATGGTCCATTAAACAGGTTTGAAAAACACTATATTACATGGGTGAACTAATAAGTTCTTGTTTCTGTCCCTTGTACCCTGTCACCAGTCATGACAAAATACTTGTTGTCTTACATTGCCTTGAAACACACATCGCAAGTTTCGTATGTCTATGGATCCAACATGCATGAAGCAGGTACTATAAGCACACATTTATAAAACTTCAAATCAGGTGTTGAAGAAGTACACTTTTGGCCAATAAGACTAATGTTTTCATCCGTTTTTGTAATGATAAGAGATGGACAGGTGGAGTTTTGGAAGATTTTGGGTAATTCCAAGTTTTATAAATTCCTCTTTTTTTTTTTTACATCTAATTTTCTGCACTATCTAGCCCTAATTTAACATTCCTCATTCTAAAAAAAGTTTCATTTTCTAATCAATTTTAACCCACAAGTCCAATAAGCCAATCTGATTAGCCTTATATATTAACCTAAGCCTAGCATTGAGCTCAACTGACCTACATAAAAATCTCATCCCCACAGTTAAGTTGCAACAGTATCTATTACAGAATTAAGTTATGGCCCTTTTCTGTAAATACCTTTATCAACTTTTTGTACTTATCAGCTGTCATACATAATAAGGTTGTGGTCAGAGCTGGGCAATTTAATAGATTAGTCAATATAATTGATTACCTATGAGAATACACATCAATTATTGTCTCATAAACTTATCAATTAATTGAAATTACCATTAACCAACTAATGTCAGGAAAATAATCAACTATGGAAATTATTATTAATTATTTTTTTGCACATGGGTGGGGTTTTCACTGCACTGGAGCAATGAAAGGGTTAATAACCATAAACGTTTTTTAAGGTTTTCTGAAATCAATGCAGCTGGAGTCAACAGCAAAATAATTACGGCTTCAACCAGTAACTGGTTATTTGTAAGCTAATACAGGCATTTGTAAAACATGGAATCAACCAAATGTAAATGACTAAAAATTAGCCAAAGTAATTAAAAATCCTCCAAACCCCAACTGCAAATCCATTATCTTTTCTACGATGGACACGAACATTAGGCCTATGTTTTACCAAAGTGCGATCATACTACCAGATTCTGCATAACACTTACTGGTCTTTACTTTAAATTTAATTAGGTATGTAAAAACAAAATTGACTTTTCAAAGACTTCAAAGTGAAAGGCCCAAATATAAAAATATAGAAATGAATACTAGGTATACTTTTTATTTAAAAATTATACAAAATACTGACTAAAAACTAATGATGCAATTTGTTTTTTAAAAATCTACCCATGAAATGTTTATAACTTGCAAGTTGCATTGCCTTTCTCAGTTTCTGAATATAAAAAATACATACATTGTTACTGGCTTATACTTGTTATAAACAAATAATCACTAAATCAGTGAAAACCTTTCAGTTTCATTGAAATAAATATTCTCAATAGCTTGGAAAAAATTATCATGAATATATAATATCATTAAACAAGTGTGTACCAATGCACAAAACAGGCTCCTTTTTCTCGTCCTTCTTTGATGAACAAGTTCGTGTCATTAAACCAAGATAATAGATCCGAGTCCGCTGTGTCATTTGCTGGAATAAACATACACTTAGTCTTAAGATCTGATTTGATAAACTGCTTAAGAGGCAGAACGTTAATAGTTAAAACGTGAGTGATGTTTAAAAGTGTCAAAACACTCTCATCTTGTGCAGCATCCAAATTCCCTAAGTATAACCCATGTTCGATCTCATTCCACGACATGTTGCCTACGGCGAAGTCTTTTAGAGTAAGAACTGTATTAATTGATTAAATCGCCTGCTGTTAATAAACTTTCCCAAAGATGGTAGAATTCACATTGCACCCGTAACATACCGAGACACAACAATTCCGACTCGCTCATTGTGCTGCGAAATCTTAGCTAAGCTACGAAATTCTTTTCTTGGGATGACATTTGGACAGGGGGCGCGAGATTTCGCAGAACATCGAAACATGATAATAACAGCAAATTATAAAATTCTAGAAAACCGTCATAATTCTTTAGAATATTAATCGCCAACATACTACAGCCGGAAATTAGTGTTTACTCATGTTCTCTTTCTATACGTAAGATAGTATTAAAATTAAAGTTGAGCAAAAAAACAAAACAAAAAAGCATAACACATATTCCATGACGAGGAACCCATTTTGAGACTAATAATGCCTGGAGACGGCTTGAATGGGTAATACATATATTAAGCATTCGACAAAAACCAGAAATTGACCGATTATTGTTACCTATTGGAGTTTCAAATGGTCTAAAATTGAGTTAACTGAGTAGTTAAATTGTACTTTGAACTTAGTAATTAAGTAAAAGCCGATATATAGTCACTTTATGATATTTGCCAACAAGATTGATACACAGTTTTCTTTTTTAACACAAATATTGTTACGCCTCCAGTCGTTAATTAATTTTCCGTAACTTCGTTCCCACGAAACTTTAG